AATTCTGATGACATTGTCGCTGAAATTCTAATAAAAAATATTTAAATGCTTTAAAGGGGATTTCCACTTGACTCTCGCATTGGACATTCTGATGTATGAGGTGTTATCTGAAAAGTGGAGGCGATAAGAGAAATCTTGGGAAACTCAAGCTCGATTATTCTGTCGTGAATGTTCTCAAGAGTTTTTCAAACTTCTTACGGAAAAAAAAATCTCTTCCTCAATTTTTCGATAGAAAACAAATTTTTGATACGAATGTGTGTTATCTCTTCGGATTTATCTTATCCTAAATTTTCTACTGACGAGAGGAATCTCGGGAAACGATTATATTCAGATCTCATTGGTTTTTTGGGTTTTTATGGAACTCAGGGAATTTACTTAATTTTTGGATAAACTCCTAATCTCATATCTTCAAAATTTGGTCGGGTTTATCTTATCGCGAAATTCGCGAGGGTACAATCTTAGGAAACGTCTGTTTGGTTTTTATCTTTCCACGTGAATCATGACCTAGAGGATATCCAGGTGGCTCCGGATTGTACATTCGCAATTTTTTCATTCCTCAAAACCCACTCCCCTTGAATTTCCAAATAACCGAAAAATTACATGAACCCTGTCAATTGAAATTCAATTCAATCTCCCATAATCAAAAATTCCCATCACATTATCCAGTGCATGAAAAGTACGAATCCCAATTTCTTCACTTAATCAATTACAAATCCGGAAATTAAACATGTGATAAATAAAAAAACATGTGTATTTTAGCTAAAAGTGTGTCGAGGGGTAGAAAAAAGGAAATTTGATTTATTGAATTATTGAATTATTGAATTGTTGAAATTCTCATAATTAATTGGTCGATTGAAAATTCAGACGTAGCGGGTGAAATATTCCGTAATTTTTCGAGTGTATGAAATGTATGAAACGTGTGGGCATCGAAAGAAAAAAAAAAAAAAAGAAGGGAAGTGATGAAGGAGAGTTGGATTGTGTTGGTGTGTAGGTAGGGAGTGAAGAATCAGAATTATCGGGAGGGTCGGGCCAACAGCTAACACGTGCAAGCCGCACGTGCACTCTTCCACTCTAGCCTCTGGGCTTGCTACAATCATTCGATGCCAAGATACACTCGGCCCAAGAAATTTTTGTTGGCAAAGGCCACACCAACTTATTTCGCCCCTGTATCGTGTTACTCTTCCCAGAAAATCATCCCCTCGTCGATAAAATACCCATTCCCCCAAATTAATCAAAAAAGTTAATAAATGTACAGCCCATTAAACCAAACTCCAACGCCTTTCTCATACCAATCGAATAACGCAATAAATTTGGAGTTCATCATTTTAGGGAGTTCAGTCAATAGGAAAAAGAATTAAATAAAAAAAAAATTTTTTAAAAAAAAATAAAATATTAAAAATATTTAATAAAAGAATTAAATATAAAAATGATAAATATCCATAGGATGATTGGAAATCACTGGAGATAATTAAGTCATGGAAAAATTGAATCAAATTCATTCAAATTCTTTTGAATGTATGAAATTTTAGTAGATGGGAAAATTTGGAAAGCGATAGATTGAATTTTTGTCTTGAAAATTGAGGATTACTTGTAAATTCAAGGAATAATCTGATTTTTTAATACAGAATTCCACAGAGATTTCCTGTTACTCTGCCCCTACCGAAAATTCCCAGTTTTTTCAATTTTTAATGCGATATCCTAACAGCGTGCACTGGATTTTAAAAAATTACTGCAACATATGCCTATGAAGATATTTTCTCAAATTATATGGATATAAAATTGAAAATCAAAGTATATATATAGAATAAAATATAGATATAGACTTATGAATTTACTACATTCATTATGCAATGAAAAATGTCTGAAAAATATATTGAGGATATACCATACATTTTGTTTAATGAATTAATTTTTTTATGTACCCCAATTAATGACAGGCGGGCAAATGGGCGTTAAATGCCAGTCAATGTAAATAGTGCCATTGATTTACTTAGATCATGTAAATGTACATGGGAGAAGTGAATGAATTCACCAGAAGTTTTTCTCGAAGATTACGAACCGCCAGTGAAATACTTTAATCGTTGAATAAAAATCTCACACTGACTGATTTATTCCGGCGAGTGTACACGATTGAAAAAGATTCACACACTGGCGCACGTTATAAAAGACGGAAGAGAAAGAGAAAATGCTTTTTGAGTAGTACATCCTCATACGAGAGCTGAGAGTACGCGATGCGGCAGGAAGCGCACGATTATAGTTTGCGGCAATGTGGTACGTCCGTTTTGTGCGTGCGAGCCAGCTGCCATGTAACATACACACTTTTGTCCAATGTTGAAGAAAAAAAGAGAGAACCAGAGGAAAATGAGACACGGGAAAAACAATTTGTGGCACACGTGCGAAAGAAGTAAGGGACGTTTGTAAAGGGAGTGACTCTCGGCTCTTCTAACGAGACTTGCATCGAGTTGAAAACACGGCTTGCACACCAGACAGTCAAACCAAAAAAAGAGCGTCCTAATTATAGTTACTCACAACACTTTTGGAATACCTGTCTCCGACGATTTCACTCGAGCTAGATCGATCGATCGATTGATCGAGACACGAGATTTATTTTTTCGTCAATTTATTCGAACGCCTGGTCGAATTATCAGTTTTTTCAGATAAATCGAGTGATATTGACCCTTCGATTGTTGGGTTGAAAAAAATAATATTTTTTACACAAATGAAAATTCGGAATAATTTTACTGCCATCTGGGGGAAATATGGAATTATGTTTTTTTGGGGAATTTTCAAAAAAATTAATATTTACATTTCCAGGCTGTCGGGGTGAAAATTCCTTTAGACTCATTACGCAATATGATTAGTACATACCAGATTGATTCTACTATCAATTATTCTCTGCGCAATCCTAACGGAGTGGCATATTTTACCGATAAGCCTGAAGAAAATGAAGAATAAATTACTCACCATTATGCACTTAAGGCTATTTTTCCAACGACTTATAGACTCTGTTCTCATTTTTATTCTCAATAATGGAACCAATAAACCTTCGAGAAAAAAAGGAATTTATAAAATACCAAGCTTCCTAAGAAATCCAATAAATTCTCTATCTTTTAATTAACGAAACGAGAAAAATTCTCGTACTTATTAACATTTTGAACAACACCGAATTTGTAATAGAATTCTCTAAAAAGATTTCCATTAATTTCCATGAATCGAATTTAAATCCGTTTTCCTGATTTATCCTGATTTCCTCATTCCATTAAAAAATTCCTGGTGTGTACCCAGATACGAGTGTGGCTCGAAGAACCTCGAGATTTTCCTGAAAATTGTCCCCAAAAATTTCCACTCCACTTCTCCATGAACTGGAATCTCAGCCATATTTTTTCCCAGGGTTCAGATTACCCCGCGACCTGACAGGGTAAGGGGAGGGGGCAATTGGGGAAATGAATAGAGGCCGGAATCATGGTTACACAGGTTGTATTGCGGTAAGTCAGTGTGACGAAGGTACAGAGAAGGAGTTGCATGTGCAAAAGTTAAAATGAACGTGCATTAGTGGTAGTAACGATGGGCTAGTGGTTGGCGCCGCCGTTGGTCGGACGTTCAACAATGGTCATTCCCCCCGTGCCCCCCCCCCTCCCGGACGTCATTCCCACCCACTCCACCCACCCATTTTTACCCCAAAAATTCCCCTTTTTTCCGCAATCTTAAAATAAAAAACAATATACTACAAAATAATAAAGTGTAAAGCACAAAGTTGTAATGCCGAAAAAACTATAAATGATTATTCACAAAAAAAATAATATTTCCTTTTAAATATTGTTTTTATTTTATTTTATCGAGTACTCGGTGGATTAATGGGGAGTAATAATTTATTCATATTGTTATCTATCATTATTATCTTTTATTGATTTATTTATTTAATTTTATTAGTTATTGTTGGAGAGAGAAAAGTGTGAGTGTAGGTATAGGCATGGGCATGGGAATGGACATGAGCATGGGAATTGGAATGGGGATGGGGATAGGGATGGGGATGGTTGCGGGGTTCTGGGTAGTGGGGGCGATTGCGCTGGAAGCGCCTGGAGGGGAATGCGTCGATGTGGGGGAATGACGGGTTGTGGGGGGGACGGGTATAAGAAGTGGCAGGTGAGGGGCGGCGGCCAGTTGACTTGGATCTGTCGAGCGCTCATCACTACCACCAATCTACCCAAAAAGTAGTGATAATCCATCGATTACCACCCCAGGAGTCAAAATACGAGATCATCAACACCAATAAATCTCGGATAAATTCAGTGATACCAGTGAAATCAGTGGAGTCCCATAAAAGTGCAGTGACACTCTGAGGTGAATTAACGTGAAAACTCGTGTCACTCGACAGACGATCGATAATCTCGCACGGAAGTGTGCGACGTGCGCGTCATCGTCGGGGGAAAAAACACTGCAGTTTTGAGGTTTGAAGAAGTGATATTATGAAGGCAATGGTTGTTAGTCCAGTTGGGGGACGTGTACCACCTACTCGTGGTGTTATCCACAGTAGTTTGGGTATCAATGGCACACGACGTGACCTCGAGGCCGAGGAGGTGGCAGCATATCTCACTAAACTCAGGTCCCTAGTACCTGATATGCCGAGAAAACGCAAATTATCGAAGCTCGAGGTGATCCAGAGGGTTATCGAGTATATATGCGATCTACAGACGACACTTGAGGAGACTAATATACATCAGGATACAGTTAAAGCAACGACGAGACAACCGTTGCAGCCACTTTTGAATGCACCAACTAGCACGAGCTCTCCGGCAGCAGTTGCTGAGCGGTGACCACCAAAAAACGATCAATGAATCGAGTGAGGAGAAAATGGAGCGTCAAGGGGTGGGCAAATGTTCATGGGGGATGGATTACTTGGAGGAGGCCTTCAACCGTCCGATGATCAGCCCTGGGTTCTGCTCGCTGCATTCTCCATTCATGTTTTTTTTTTCTGCCTTTTTTTTTTCAACGCGAGACTGTTGTCTGGAGTAATGCAAGTCCTGCTCGGAGGAGACTGTAAATAGTGTATATACGGATATGATATAAGCTCATTGCATTCCTCGCACGACCTCGTCGAAATCGATAAAACGATACCCTCACCCATCCCCTCACTGCCACCCCATTTCCCATCCCCTCCTTCGTGATAATTCAGACAATTTTTCTGATTTCTGAGCTCCCGTCGAGCTCCCTTATTTTGAGTATTTGAGATTCAATTCTTTTGGTCTTTGTTTTTATTCGGAGTTGTGACTCTTCTTCCAGCGAATTTTTTTTCCTTTTTTGTTGAAATTTTCATATGTTTTATGGACTCCGTGGAACCTATCCCAGATTATTATTTCAATTTATATTGTAGATATACAGAGAATTAAAGTAGAATGATGGATTTATTGTAATCATTATTCACATCGATTATTATAATTATTGTTATCGTTCTTTGTAATATTATTTTAGTGATGAGAGTGGTAAAATGATGAATACCCGCAGATATTGTATATTTGCAAAGACTGAAAGGCTGTAAATACATCGACAAGCGGGTTGTTGTAAGCTTTTACATTATAAGAGGGTGAATGAGGAGAGAAAATAAAGAATTGGAGAACAATGTGTCCACGAATCATCGAATTTGTTGTTTTTTTTTCTCATTTATTTATTCACTTGTTGGTTTATTTGGGTGGTGAAGTGGCTTTTGGGAGAGGAATGAGATCTGGGATGTGCAGTGGATTATTCACGATCGATCAAACCCCGTGGGAGACTGGGAGAAGGGATGGGTCAGGGAATAAAAAAGGGAGGGCCAACCCCTAGTTCATTTTTACCATTAGTGATGATTGGACGGCGTCAGATTTAACGGGGGTTGCCTTATGTGAACTTCCAGGAGAAAATGAAATGAAGGACTTGGAATGAAGATGAAAGGGGGACTGGATGATGGAGGGTGGAACAACCCTCCGTAGAGTTGTCATGCGACGACTCGTGATTGTCGAGTGGCTTGGGGCATCGGGTGGGAATTTAATGCACATAGGGTAAAGTTCCCGTGGGTATTCTTTGGTACTGGAGTTCCCAGGATGGAGAGAACGCGCACGCCAACATACGCCGCAAGACACGATCAATACTCTCGGCTCATGCTAACTACTCCTAGACCCCTTCCAGCAAGACTTTTATTTGCTGCTATTATCTATTTGCGAAAACTAGAACATTTTTTTTATTTAATGGGGTGAATAATTCGGGTGACAGCAGCATATGCATGCCTTCGGTGGCAAGAAAAATCATGAATTAGTAGATTACGAATATTCAGGACAAATTAAATTTTTAATAAATTGAGTTAAAAATTCATGATTAGTGCGTGCAATGGATTCTTAATGTTGTGGGTTTCAAAGGAATTTGGGATTTAATTTTTTACAGTTTTTACTAGGAATTTTGCAAATTCAACAAAATTTTATTTTTTAGGATGCGAGTTTAACTCTGAATTTTCAAGGAAAATAATAGAAACTGGATAGAATTCTGTGGCATTTAAATATTTTGAAATATTCCATGCAAATGTCATGTAAATTGAACGACGTTGAATATGTCAGGTACTTTTACTTGAAATTTCAAGAGCGATTTTCACACTTTGTATTGTGTATTCACTGTAGGTGGTAATCGTAGAGAATGGGGTGATTGATGTCTCAGTGGAATTATTAGATCGAATCATGGAAACGATTTCGAGATTGCACTGTTATGTAATTGAGAATTCGCGGAGATTCAATGTAATCGTGCGGATTGATTTCTGGGGAAATTAATTAGAATTTGACAAGGTATCAGAGGTCGGAGTGTTTTTCACTTTTGTTCACTTCGAAAAAGTCAATAAAATGTAAAAAAAACTCAAATCAATTGAATGTTATATTTTTTTACATTCGTCCATTTTTTTTATCACTCGGATAAATTGCATGTAATAATTATTAAGATGACCAAAGGTTTTGAAAAAAAAGACACGATGAGTTCCTTAAGTAATACCGAAGTAGATAATATATTTTCGAAATGATAGTATACAAAGGCATTCGATCTCCAACCGGAGCTTGCAACACACTTAAAAATGCAAAGGAAATACAAAACCCTTCCTCAAACGACATGAACATATTTCAGGAGAATTAATATCCACTGTCTTTGAGGAATTTCCCAATGGCAGCGCGATCCCGGTTGAGCCACTGTGCATTGAGCCTGATGTTTTCAATGCTCTGTTGAACAGTCCTGGCAGCGCCAGGTGTGGGATGTTCCTTGAAGAACTTTTCAATTTCGAGTGCCTTCTCCTCGGACGAGAAGTTCTCAGTAAGGTGCTTAACTAGTCTAGCCAGCAGGAATCCCCCACAATACCGATCCATGAGGGTCTTCCAATTCCTCTTAAAGAACTCCCAGGCCATGATACGTCCCTTGGAATTCATCGACACCGATATGATGGCGCAAATAGTATCCTGAGCCCTCACCTCTTCACTCATGGCAAACTCAAGGACTTTGGAGAGAATTTCCTCATCCCTGATGGCCCCCATAGCCCTGAGAATCCTGTCCTTTTCCTCGTGGAGATCAGACTGTCGATAGAGCTTCAACATGGCGTCATACGTCTCTTGATCTCCTTCCGAGAGAACAGCTCTGTAAACCGCACTTCTGAGATCAGCAGCAAGAATACTCTTGCCACTGGCATGCAACTGGAACCTCTTGACAGCTTCACTGATGGTCTCAGTATCCCTGAAGGAGGCCATCCTATTGAGAATCAACGACCTGAGCAGAGTATCCAGATGACTCTCATTGGCCTGTGGATCCCATCCCAGCCTCGACGCCACATCCTTGCAGAGAGATCTTCCAAATGCCTTGAAGCTGTCTTCACTATCGAGATTGCTGAGAAGAATTCCAATCTTCCCCAGGCTACTGGCGATACTCGACCACACAGTGTAATTATCCTCGAGTTGAAAAGCCCCCATGAACCTGAGGACTTCTACAGTGGAGGCGTGTCCCGCCTGTACCATGGCGAAAAGATCATCGAGAAGTCCAAGCCTATCAAGTGGTGGCAGTGTTCGATCCTTAACAACTGGCATCAGTGAGGACAGTGCCTCAGGAGTATAACGTGTCCTGTAAAATCCAATGGTTCCCGGATTGACTTTGATCCAAACCCCCTCCGGCGCGTCTTTGATGACCATCTCCTTACTCCTCTCACTCATCACTGTGTTAAAAGCAACTTTCCCTGGGGACTTGGAGGTACTCACACTCACCGGAATCATCCAGAGACTCGCCTCCTTGTCCACTGATCCATCTGCCAAGAATCTCTCCTGAGACAAAGAGAGTATCCTGTCATTTCCGTCCTGACGCTGATCCACCTTGAGCACTGGGAATCCCATCTGCTTCGTCCAGGTGGACATGACAGCTCGAATGGGCTTGTTGCTGGCCTCTTCCAGAGCTGCCCAAAGGTCCTCAGTCTCGGCATTATTGTAACTGTACCTTTTTAAGTAAATATTCATGCCCTTTCTAAAATCATCGTCACCAATGTAGGAATGCAGCATCCTAATGACACTTGCACCTTTGTTGTAGGATATGTCATCGAAAATCTCGTCGATCTCCGATGGATGGCCCACTGGCACCTCAATTGGGTGACTGTTCTTCAAGCCATCGAGCTCGAGAGCTTTTATGTAAGTGTCAGTTACAAATTGAGTCCAAATGTCGTACTCGGGGAACAGATGGGCAACGCAGAGGAACTCAACGAAGGATGCATAACCCTCGTTGAGCCACAGATGTGTCCACCACTCCATGGTAACTAGATTACCGAACCACTGGTGAGCGAGCTCATGACTAACCACTAATGCAATCCATTGTTTTGAGACTGCTGATGTGTTCTCGGGGTCTACCAGAAGGCAGGTCTCCCTGTAAGTCACTAAGCCCCAATTCTCCATTGCCCCAGCTGAGAAATCTGCTATGGCGATGAGATCCATCTTTGGCAGGGGGTAGGAGATGCCGAAGTACTTGTTGTAGTAGGGGAGAACTTTGGTGGCTACTTCTAGGGCAAAACGACCCTGCTCTTGCTTCGTTTTTGGGGTGTACACACGCACCACTGTACCGTCGGTTGTCTTGTCCTCCACGAAGTCGAATTCACCTACCACCACTGCCACCAGGTAAGTCGACATTATCGGTGACTTTTGGAATTTTATTGTTTCTAAGTCATTCTTTTTCTCGATGCGTTCTACGGGCTGTAGAGAGAATGTAAATGATCAATATTTATTTTTTTGCAAAGTTGCTGGAGAAAAATTATTGCAACTTTTGAAACTCGGATTCAATGGCCAATTTTTAATGGGGGATAAGTGGATTTTCTATCAAATTATAATTTAATTTGATAATTATTATTAGTTTGAAAATTAGGAAAATAGAAAAATTGTAGGTGGCAAGTGTCAAGTGGGACATGCATGCATCAATTGTCAATAAATTTTAAACACCAACAAAGATGAGATTTTTCAAAGTGAGGGATGATTTTTAAAGATTTGATTAATTTTTTCGTAAACCAAAATACGAATAAAAAAAATCGATTGATTTTAAATACAGTAGACTCCCGTTAGTCGCGTACATAGAGCTGTAAGGGTAGCAAATTTAGGGAATTCGACTATATGCAATTACCCCCCCTCCGTGCGTCTGCTGTGACCGTAAATTGAATTTTTTTAATTTGCATTCAACGCATCTCACCTCTGCTACTCATTATTAAGAGAAAGTTATCAATGAAAAAAAAAATCACGAACATAAGTGGATATCCTTGAAACTCGTATTAAAAATTCGCGAGTATTCGCCCAGAACACTTCCTCGGAGTGAACGGCTATTTAGGAAAACGTTTTTTTCTCCATTTACGGAAAAATACATCCAGATCAATAGAGAATTTTTATAAGTTGCATACTCATTGTAAATAAAAATAAAAAAACTGGCAAAATAAATAAATAGCATTAGCATTGAACTAATATCAAAGCATTAAATAAATAACAATCACGCCTGCATAATTGGCAAAAATAAACGAATGGATTTGAAAGTTGAATAAAACATGAAAGGTAAAATGATGAAATTTTGAAATGAGTAAGTCGCGATCCGTTGCTCACCATGTTCGAAAGAGCTGTGAGGCCAGCAGGTACATTAAGGGTAATATCAAACATGGCTTTCAATGATGGCTCGTCCCAGCAGGGAAAGCAACGTCTCGCATCAGTCGGCTCGAATTGCGTCACCGCCGTGTACTTAGCACTCCCATCAGCTCTGCAAATGCACATTTCGTATTTTCCCCAATTAGTCAAGTTTGTAAATATCCCCTTACCATATTGCAAAGGCCAATAGCATTGGGCAGATTGTGGAGATTAAGTGTTACGCCAAATGTTGCCTTGATGCTTGGCTCGTCCCAACACGGAAATACTCGGCGTGCCGATGTGGGACAGAGAAAAGTCACGGCATCTGCCTCTTTGTCTTTTCCACCACTATAATTTATTGTCTTTAATTGTTTTGCCATTACGTAAATTGATTGTTATCTTTGGGCAAATAAGGAATCGTTTCTCAAGCTGGGAAAACAATTCCATGTTTTCAAGGTGATTTTATGTTTACAAGGAAAACCAGGAAGATCAGATCAGAAGGACGGACAGTCTCGTTCCTCAGATGAAGGTGTTCGAGTACCTTGTGAGGCAACTTTTTAATTCGTTAGATTACAATTTGGAAAAAATTACTATTTTCATAGATAGTTGTGCTGGGAATTAATATTTCTATAGGATCCGTGTGAAGTTTTGGAGAGTAATATGTAATATGTAAAATACCTAATTCATAACGCAAAAATACATATTCTTTCTAAAGATTTTTAAAATAAATTGACGGTTTGATTGGAGGCTATTGCATAATTAATCTTTAAATTTTATATTTTTGATGAGATTTTCAAGCATTAAAATCGTGAAAAAATGATAGTTTGCAAAAAAATACTTGACAAAAATCATAAAAGAAGATGTTTTAGCGAATAAGTTACTGCAATCCCCTTAAAGTTCCATCGAAGCTGTGACTAGCAAAGAGGTATATAAATAGCATTTTCCTTTCTATTTCGGCATTTCCAGGCATTCCCTTGAATCCCCACGAGTCCAATGAATTACAATACAGTGTTATTGAACTGAACTGTCGAAAAAGCCCAAAGATATAATTCCTTGTGAACCCAAGACTGTCCCCATTGTTCTCACTCGACACTCTGAAAATATTGATTCACTAATGCACAAGAGAGAATCTCTATTTACCCAATGTGTTTACTCCTGTATAATCCCTTCATCTTGTCATTGATTTCCCCGGCGAAATCAAAATAAAGCCGGCCATTTTTTCCAACTGGTAATTTCTCAGGAAAGAGTAGAGTTGCTGTTTCATTTTCAACGGAAACTTCGATTTTTTTGGCCTCCAAACTCGCACCTTCGCCATTCTTGTAGACAACCTTCTTGATATCGATGTCCAGAGAATTAAGAACGACTTTTTCCGTGGAGTTCTTTACCTGATAGAAAAACAATAAGTCCAGTCAGCGGTTATGTACGACATATGGATGCTGACATCATGCCAGAGGCCAGGAAATATGTAAAAAAAAACTTGACAATTAATTTACCTCAATCTCGACATTTTGTGTTCCCTCAAATGTGAAATTCTTGAGATCTGGGGTGAGGCTTATCTCGTAATGATACGGTCTCACATCAGTGGGAAGCCGGCTGAAGGGTTTCTTGTCATTAGACATTCTAACTTCAAATAACACTGCTGTACTTTTTGAATAATTAAACCTCTGTATCGTAACAGAATTAAATACAACTCGCAACACCTGTCGAGTTGAACTAATTATCATCGAATTTCCCCTGTTTTCCTTGATGAAAAAAACCTCAAGAAAAATAGCTTATCTCTCAAATTATGCCAACTCACTTACAGGCGCAACTAACCACGACCCACAATGGAAATGCAATAAGTACAGGAGCTCGAACAGATGGAATTGCTTTTCACAATGTAACACGAAAGAAATTGGTTCACACAGTGGTGCCAAAATTCGGCCAATTTTTATCGCTCATTACAGAGGGCGCTAATTGAAATTATTCTTCAAAACTGAAGGATCAGACCAAAGGGGATTGACTAAAAAAGAGGCTCAGTTCGGGGGGTTTGAGTAACCCCACCGGCATCGTAGTATCTCACCCCAAAAGAAAGAGGGCGCCACACGCAAAGCTGGGGGTGTCTACCTGTCAGCCGACTCGGTAATTGCCTCAGTAGTAGTCCCACTGTCAAAGGGACCGGTCGACGGTGTGAATGTCATTTTTATTACACCGCAGAAAATTACATTCACCCCGTTGACTGGTTGAAATTATTTTGACAATTTTTTTGTCTTTTTTTTTTGGAAATGCTTCTTGAACATTGGGTTGTGGGGAGGTACGGAGGTAAGACGCAGAGGAAACGAGATAATTGCAATTTTCTGAATCATTACGTAAAATTACGATTATCTCGTTTCCGATGGGAAACCGTACCTACCCACAACTCCATGTTTAAAAAGCATTTCCAAAAAATTTTTTTTTTAATTTTCAAAAAAATTTTCAAAATAATTTTCCAAAAAATTTTCAAAAAAATTTTCAAAATAATTTTCAAAAAAATAACACACCATCGACTGGTCCCTCTGACAGGGGAACATTGCGTGTGGCGCACTCTCTCTCTTGGGGTGAGGTTCTACGATGCCACTCAAATGCCCCAGAACTGAGTCTCTACTTTCGTCAATCCTCTTTGGATCAAACTTTCGGAGCAGATGCATCCGGATGCACCAGCACACATAGGTCTTCATTCGTAATTCAATTAAAAAACAGGTAAATGCAAGAACTTAATTCGATTATCGAGCTCTCAAAGCTGGATTTTATAGCTGAAATTCCGGAATATCGAGTTGCAAAGCTAGAGTTCAGTGCATTCATTACCAACGAAGTGGAATTAATTTCCATTGTCATTACAGCACAGATTCCATTATACAATTCCATAGTTAATTATCTTCTCAATTCCCTCCAATTAAAAACGAATGCCAGATGTCCAGTATATAAACCCAATTCGCCAATTTGATGACATAAAGCCATCAATTGAAAATTGCATACAAATTAAATACTTCTCGATAAAAACTATCTGAGGTCATAAAAAAAAATGAAAAAAAATCGCAATATAATTAAAAAATAAAACTACTGAAAATTCAAGAGAGTTACCATGAGAGAATAAACATCAGAAACTCTTGGAGGGCTTACAAGATGTCTCTGTTCGCCCGTGAAACCTGGAATCCTCCCTTTTTCCAATAAAATCGATCCGTCAGTCGTTCCAAACCCTCGAAAACTGGAAGAAAACTCGAAGGATTCCCGTCAAATCATCAGACCCAACCGAAACCCCTGAAAACCTCCAAATAATTATAAATAACATTTCTGAGACTAAAGCCGAGTTCACAAATACCCGCGACAGTGCCTCGTGATCACATCTGTATTTCCTTCCTATTCCCAGTATTTGCAAATGTCTAGGAGGGGATAAGCAGTTCACCACTCTCCAGTAGCTTTCAGTTTTGTACTTTTGTGTGCGGCGCGGGCAGGATCCGCCAAACTATCGGGGCAGTGAGGGTAAATCGAAATAAAAAAATCCCCCACCCCCCCCAAAAAAGGATAAATAAAAAAAAAACTCACTCAAAAGTCCCCACCACGAGTGAGATATTTTCTAAAGTGTGAATGTATCCCGTGATTATCTCAACTCCTCAACTGGAGTCGGTGGCATCCCGACAAGCTCATTACCCTCGATGGCGTGCCTAAAAATCGCCCCGTACCATTAAAAACACCTGGAGACACCGATGCACCTGGTGCCGACGTCCATCCAACCACCAAAACAACTCTCCAGAGCCCCAGGGTGAGAAGAATAAAGCGCAGCCTTAGCGACTCCTGGTGATGCTCCTGAGATCCCTCATCCAGTGAATTCTACTGACCAAAAAAAGAAGAGGAGAGAAAAAAAATTCCGGATTTTCTCGAAAGGAGGAACGCGTGGATCTATTGCCTCTTGTGCTTGCTCCATGGCGATTGTTCCCACTACCCCTGGAACGTTGTCTACGTCACAGCGTAAGGTGGCACTCAGGTGAATGTGATACAGAAAAAGAGAGTCATTTATTTTTCTTGTTTGTCCGGAGTTGTAGCAACTGTGAGGACAGTGGAATAATTTATTGAAAATTGATAAAAAAAAAAATAAGGAGAAACGAGGTGGATTGTTGAATGGTGTAGCTGACCGCGTCACCGCCCATATGTGATGTGTCCAAGTGAATGAGTAATCATGTACTGCCAGGACAAGGGCTCGGCGGCATCCAAGAGCAAAGAGGGTGGTGAGTTGCTATGTTGTTAAGTTATTTTAACATTTCAACATTTTATCAATGACTTTTTCACACATCATAACTCGTCTCTTCCCTCTTACCACCACTTATATCGTCTTATTGCCTCTTATTTCCTCTTCTATTATCTTTTTTTCTCTTCCCATTACCAATTGTCAGCTTTCATCTGTGTTAAGCTAGTTTAGGTGGCAAGGGAGAAATGGAGTGAAAGAGTTTTCAAATGGCACAGTGAAAAGGAGAAAAGACAATAGGGATGAAGAAAGTACGGAAACATAATGGAAAAGAAAAGGGGTTGAAAGGGGAAGGATATGCAGTGTGTCAAGTGTGCTGGAGGGGTGGTTTGTCCGAGAGTTCACGAGCAATGTGAAGGAGGGGGTGATAGGGGGTGAGGGAAGAGTGGGTAGGGGATGCTCTTATTTATCGGAGGAAAAATAATGAAAATGGAAGACCCGGTTTTCTTCTTCCATTAACAATGATGGATTATGCTTGAGAGAAACTCTCAGCTTTTTGTTTTGTTTTTTTTTTTATTATTGAAAAAAGCTCAATGAGTCATTGACGATAATTCCACAATTGTTAACGTAAGTACTTCCGCTTGCGGGATTACGATTCATGCTGCGATTCATTGAGGCTTGTTTATTCATTGATTCCACCACAACCCTTTAATCTGGCGGACCAAGTGTTGGGTATTTTTTTTTTTTTAGAGGGAATGATGGAGTTGGTGCGTCAGAATTATTAATAAGGTTTCAGGACTGGTGATGTCATACCGTATAATGTGGAGTGACATTGAAATACTTGACAATTACTTTTCACGTTGTGGAGTACATGTTTGATCGATTTATCATCGTAGGTGATGTGGATTTTTTAAATTATTCATGTTTTTTTTTTCTCTTGGATTTTGTGGCAGGTACTGTGACGATGCGAGAGAAGAAGGGAGGTGCACTGAGCAGGGTACAAAAATTGAAGAAACGACTCAGTCACAGCTTCGGGAGACTCTGTAAGTTTGAGTTACAAGTGGGACTGGTCACTTGGGATATTACTCTATTGAATTTCAAGAGACAAATCGATGAATGTCCAGTAATTTGGAATTATTTCCGAATCAATAGAATTCCTGAAGAAGTATTTTTTCGAGTGACTTCTTGAAATCGATAAATTATTTTCAACTACTAGAACTCACGCACGATAGATCAATATTTTGGTTTTTAATTGTTATTGATTGTTATTGACGAATCAGGAGAATTAATATTCATTCTGTAACCCAGGAAAAATACACGAAATCACCCACGTGACCGGTCTGAGTTATTTTGTTGAGTTAGTTGGAGGTTCTTGAGAAGTTCCCATGGAATTCAATGCTCAACTTTTAGTTGTTCAGCAAGATTGAGTCGATGGAAGTTTTGAGGACAGTACATTGTGATTATGTCGATTATTTCCAGCGATATCGAAGGAGGAAGCTGAGGATGTGGCGAACAGAGGTTCATTGGCTTACAATGGCTTCTCGGAAGAGTTCCTAGACCGTTTGGAGCGAAACGGTAACTTACCTGTGGACAAGGATCGACGTTACGGTGAGTAGATAAATCGCAATTAACGCATATTTAATTTATTGGGGTTTTGCATATTTTTTTAGCCATTTCAATTGAGGTGTTTCAAGTTCTGTTATCATATCAACACATTTCCTTCGCTTCAACCGAACAAAAAGAGTTTTTCAATACAATAGAAATCACAGTCTCATTATAAATGAGTAATTATTTTGATTGATTTGATTATTTTCTAAAATTGAACAATTCGGTTGTAAGACTCTCAATTGATGAGGTGAATAGTAAAATTTTATTCGAAGCCCCAAAGCGCTTGGCATTAGTGATATAAGATGATTAAAAATTGAATGAATGATGTGATATGACTTTCCACCAAATTCCTCCAGCCAAGTCGATTACATCAACATCTATATCCCATGTCGCAGAGTGGGGTGGTGTGGGTGATCACGAGAGGGTCCACAGACAGCTGTCAGTATCGAGTGACTCGAAATTGCTGGATGAGGATATCAGGGAAGAGGCCAGGGTAATCCTGAGACCTCGTAAACCCCCAAGACCAAAATCAGAGGTATTCCTTGGGCCAGATCCAGCACCGAGGAGAACCAAGAGATTTTCAGCCTTCGGTGGTGATTCACCATTTGGTAAATCCGAGGGATACATCAAATTGGAGCAACTCGGTGAGGGTTCATATGCCACTGTGTTCAAGGGGTACAGCCATTTGGCTGAACAGGTCGTTGCACTTAAGGAGATCAGACTTCAGGAGGAGGAGGGCGCACCATTTACTGCCATACGTGAGGCCAGTCTACTCAAAGAGCTCAAACACAGTAACATCGTCACACTCCACGATATCATTCATACACGTGAAACACTAACATTTGTTTTTGAATTTGTTCACACTGATCTCTCGCAGTATATGGAGAGGTATGGCAGTGGGGGTGGCGGACTCGATCCAAGAAATGTCAAATTGTTCCTCTTCCAGCTGCTACGGGGACTCGCTTATTGTCACCGCAGGTAAATGCTTCTTTATGTTGGGGATAAAGTGACGTTGAGGAGGAAGCATTGGTATTTCTTTTATTTCTTTTATTTCTTTTATTTCTCTTATTTCTCTTATTTCTCTTATTTCTCTTTGTCCACGATCAATTGTCACGTTCGTACATTAATTCACTGGTGGAGGAACTTTCAGGAATTTTTTATAGTTTCTGGAGAAATTCGTTACTGCTTTAGTCAATTTTTCATAGAAAAAATCATTTCTGCCAATTCAATAAAGACTTGTCATCAAATTCAGGAATACCTCAGGCTTGAATTTTTGGCTCAGAGAAATTTATTTGGCATTAGAGAATATTTTGAGAAGAATAATTTGAGAGCGTCGCGCTTTATGTGATTATAATGAATAAATAGTGTAATTGAATGTATTTATTTCATTTGTTTTCACTCAGGAAAGTACTACATCGTGATGTAAAGCCCCAGAACCTCCTGATTAGTGAAATAGGTGAACTTAAACTCGCAGACTTTGGTTTAGCGAGGGCAAAATCAGTGCCTTCACACACGTACTCCCACGAGGTCGTGACCCTGTGGTACAGGCCACCGGATGTCCTCCTCGGCTCAACCGAGTACTCGACGTCACTCGATATGTGGGGCGTTGGTTGTATATTCGTTGAGATGCTTACTGGTGTACCAACGTTTCCTGGTGTACGGTGTACCTACGATCAATTGGATAAGATATTTAAAATTCTGGGAACACCGACGGAGGAAACGTGGCCAGGGGTCACGCGATTACAGGGATACAAGCCACATCGGTTGGCATTTTATCCTCTTAAGAAATTAGGACTGTCATTTCCCAGGCTGTATGACGTGGCGGAGGGTGATAGCATGGCTTCGTCACTCCTGCAGCTCAATCCTGATGATCGAATAGACGCTGAGGAAGCGTTGAAACATCCGTACTTTGCCTCACTTCCTAAGAAACTCTATGAGTTGCCTGATGGTGAGAACAAATATTTATTTCATCTATTATTTCATTGTTTTATGCATTATTTTATTCTGATGAAAACATACATGATGAAAACAGAAACAGAGTAATTACTCATTAAGAGTAGTAGCACAATTATAATGGAGTCAGTGCGAGAGAATAAATGAATGCAAGACGAGAAAAAACCCTGGAGACCTAATTAGAGATAATAAGAGGAGAATATTTCGGGATATTAAAAGACTGGCAGTTTCTCGGTCATTTGAATCCATTTTGTGATTAAAAATTCAGCTGTGTTAAATTTAGAATGATAATGAATTTTATTTCACAAAAACGTATTTGCGAGTTCGAAAACAAAATAATCTCAGAAAAATGTAATTTAAACGTGATTCAACTTGTAAATTGGATGATAGAAACTCTAAATCTATATATCGTATTCTTGGAGTGACGCACGAACGAATGATTCAATATTTTTCTGATATCCCGGACACTAGCAGTTTTGAAGCAAAAAATCAACAGAGATGATGAAAGATTCTTTGACTGGTAAAATTATAGAGATTTAAAAAAAATATATTCTATAAGGCAGAATTTAAGAGAGAAAAGAGAAAAATGGTCGATGTGCCTTCATGATATTCTTGAAATGAAAATCCAGAGAGCATTCTCATCTGTTACTCTCCCAAAAAAACTAAAAAATACATTTTCATATCATGTAAATTTTTCTAGAAGTCCTCAAAAAATGAGCAAAACTCACGCAATGAATAATCATCAGTTATTCCTCATTAAACTCTTGGAATTCTCCCTCCGAAATTAAATCACTCTTATGAATATGTAATCCCAGTTCCACCAGTTCAGCGCAAAAAAATGAATATGCTGAAAAGGGCAGTCAGTCGACTCTAAAAAGGGTTTGCATGTGCAAGCCGTTGAAGTTTCCAATTGTGTAATACACCTGATAGCCCATTTTGCTCCAGTAGTTCCCCCAGAGACGTAGGAGAAACGTTTTAACAGAGAACTTTTTTTTTTCCTTCAATATCTCGAGAAGTATCGAAGCAAAATGGGTTGTCAAATGCCTCGCGGCATCGGAAATTCGAGGCCGTCGATGCAGTATTCAATGTTTCTCTTCCGTTTCTCATTCTCAATGTATTCTGTAGAACATAAAATGCGTTTTAGTATAGTTGGGATCGATAAACTTTAAAAAATGTAAATATCCGAGCGAGGAAAACCGACAAGAGCAGTCAATTGGATCGATGCATCATCGTTAATTGATGCTCCCATTGCTAATGAAGTCTCCCCCAGACTTCACTCCAGGGCTCGTCATCAATCATTATTATTATTTTTTAATGAAGATCCAGATGTACCATCTTTCCAACGCGGCTCTATTGTTTTTTATTTTCCTACCGTGAAATATTTTTTAATCGCCATCTGATGTTGCATCACGCAAGACTCTCCAAAACTAAAAGTTCATATCATTTTTTTTATAATTTAAAAAGCTGAAATTAGTATTAGTAACCAAGTCTGGAAGTAAATTATAAGTGAATAATTTTATTGAAATTCCAGGTTTTCATTAACAGTCATAATTTGTAAGACTTCTCCGTGGTGGAAATTTACCAAGTAATTAATTAATAGGCGAAACAATTGAGTAGCTCGACTTAAAAAAATTATCATAAAAAAAAATCATTAAATGGATACTGACATTAAATAATGAGTGACTCATGGCTCATGACTAATTCTACTTTTAATGTATTGCTTCCAGAGGTCTCGATATTCACCGTCGAAGGGATTTACCTATTCACTGAGTCTCGACAAACATACGCCGATTCGCGTCATACAGCACTCAAGACCTGAGGTCGAGCATAAAAATAAAGGGAACGAAAATGAGCTGTTCTAAATGATTAAAACATCACGTACAGACTCGACGAATGATCGGATTTTCACATTGTAAATGGGTATCCGTCTAGTTCTCACGAAGGTCGTACGAATATCATTGACATATTTTTCATTTATCTCCTATCCGGCTTATTAAAGAAACAGAAAGAAAAAATGCAATTAAATTGTCCGATCTCCTCATATTTTGTATTTGAATAACTATTCTCGTAGAGAAAACTAAAACGATGGGTTACTTGTAATAATTAGGCCGAGTCATTAAATTCGTAGAGTCATTTTGTAGTGGGAGATGCGGACAGGTAAATCAGGTTGATTATCATTAATAGTGGAGCAAAAAAAAAAATGGTGAGAAATGCATTCGGAAGCTACGCACGCTGGATTTAGAGCAAAATGCAAAAAGCACGCACCCATCCTCGCACTTCGTCCAAATATTAGATATTAGACTGAATACCAATCAAAAGAGATTCGATAATGGGTGAAGATGTCTACCGCCTAGTGGAAGTTATTTCCCCCCTCTTCTATGATCCTTTTCCGAGCCACTTGCAGGCGGTGAGTTCGACGTAGCGAACAAAAAATTAAGTAATTCAATTTATCATTATTAGGTGAAATCATGGAAGATCTGTAGCGCTGGGTCAATCATTCTGCACTGCTATGTAGTTTTGCCACTAGATTTGGGCGCCTGAGTTACGCCTGTTTATAAATTTCTATTAAATTCATCAAATTCTCAGGCTAATCGGGTTTGAAACTTCATGATTGAATTTATTCAGTTGGAAAATTAATCAGGGGACGTGGAATCTCACGGCAATATCAGAAATTAATTTCAACGTCTTTATTAGAGTTGCAAATCTATTGAGTTATTTCTAATTAATTACGGGATGTTTTACAGTGAGAGAAATTATTACTGCAATTGATTTTTACCACTATTTCCATCGGAGTCATTTTTTCAGTGCTCGTTGTACCCAGAACAACTGAGGAATGGCCATTCCTCGGTTTATGATCCATTATGGGTGATGAGCAAATTGAAGATTTTTTTACGTTTATTGTTTTTCTATTGATTCATGAATATTTCATTAAAAAAATGAATGATCGATTGAATGGATCGTAAAACACGTGCATAATATTGTTTCTTAGACTTTAACAAACGCTACAAAAAAATTGAAATGTTCATTGGATAAAAATAATGGTCCTTCATTGTGACGATAAAAAAGTTAAATCTAGTCTTTTGTTAATTTACGAGGCAAAATCGATTGCTCATAGATCAAATTTTTTTTTTAAATTCAGACCCAAGCAATCGACAGGAATCTATTCATTTATCCAGAGAATTAGTGAATCAATTAATATCATCTTCAGATCATATTTTCGTTCGCTCTAAAATTGAATAATCTCCTCTGGGTGACCAGATGTTCTCTTGAAAAAAGATTATTTATTCTGCTGTACTGCTTCCCAATTAAACTGATAAATTTTCAATTATCTACCGATTTTTAATAACATCAATTAGCCAAAAATTAGGCATTTCACATATAAACTCGATCGCCCAATCTGCTGGACTCGCCTCCGCTCGCAATTTATCGTCGATCTCAATCCAATTAAAAAACAAAAACACCTTATTCGAATTAGAAATTAGCTCATAATCGTAACGTGATGATAGCAAATAAATCTAGCATAATAAGTTGGACGTGAGAAAACATGTCTCGGGGTATTGACAAATCGACGAGCGGAGGTTGCAAGTGCGATGAGAGACTCGTTAATAAACTAATCGATGAAATTCATTAGTACCAACTACCAGTAGTAGCGTAATTTTTACAGCAGTTAATGAGAAAATTAAAATTAAAAAAAAAAACTACGTATGTTCGTTACTACTTTTGATAGGCCAACGAATGGTGCTTGATGAATATACGATTAATGAATTAAAATTAAACTGTACATTAATCTGGGGATAACTGATAATCTCGTAATAGTTGCCTAGCTGGTGGCATAAATCGGACGCAATCATGATTTTTCCCTAGAAATTAGAGTTTGAATAAACCTAGAGAGTAATATTGACGAGTCGAGAGCGTTACAGGTCTTCCAAATAAATAAAAAAATCAATTACAAGTCATGAGAATTATGTCCAAGCCATGATGACTATTACGACTAATAATGTTATTCCCTAGTAGATTTATATTTATACCGATTTTTCAGCGCACTCATAGTTTTTGCCAGCCCCCCC